GCTTGTAGGACAGCATTGAAAACCACCGCCCGTTCACGCCAAGTAGTAAGCACATCAACGGCGTCTTGTTCTTCTTTGATGTTCTCTTGCTTGTTCACGCTGTTAAGTTTCATACCACCGGCTTTGCCGGAACGGGCAGGGCCGATTCGCATGCTCTGACTAAGGATTGTATCACGTTTCCACCGGAGACTTCGCCCTGCAATTATACGGGCGGCCGATTGAAGTACATTGTGAATATTCAAGGCTGTCGTTGAAATGGTGTTTGAGGATGACGGTGGGGCCGAGGATCGCAGCTGGGATTTTGCGAGTACAGCCTCTTTTTGAAGATTGTCAAACACATCTAAGAATAATTCGAGAAGGACTGATGGCGGCGGTATGTTTGTTGGACGGACGGTGGCCGCGGGGGGTGTAGTCCTAGAAACAGAGCTACTAGGAGCTGGGCTAGGGGCTGTCGGTGGTGAGATGGGTTTGGATTTGGGCACAGCCTTCACACTAGGCCCATCTGAAAAGTCACCCCAGTCGTCGAAGGCATCGTCATCCCAGGTTGATGCAGGCGGCTTATTGGGTCTGACAGGCGGTTTTGTAGGTGCTTTTGTTCTCTTTTCGGGGGCTTTGGGGGAGGTTGGCTAGCAGGGGCATCGGCGAAATCGCCCCAGTCACCAAATGAATCATCCTCCCACGTTGCCTGCTGTTGGTTATTAATAGGTCCAAGGTTTTGGTTCTTTTGGGCAATTTCCGACGGATGTTGCACGACCGGTGCCGAGTCTTGCATTGAGAGTGAATCTAGCAAGTCAATTGTTTTAGAAACTTGTAGAGTATCCTGCCGAGGCTCTTGTATTGGCAATGTGGCTGTCGTTGATTGCTGAGGAGCTGTTGATTGTGCATGTTGAGCGTTTGTATCAGGGCCCTCGAATTCACCCCAGTCGTCGTCCGCATCACTGGCTGGTGTGTCGAACGTTGCATCAAATAATACATCGCTATGTGGATTCAAGGGAATGTCAAATTCCTGACCAGGGCCCTGCCATGAAGCTGCTGGAGCTGCGAATTGACCGACTGCTTCCGGGGTCGGATTGGGACGTTTGTTGTGCTGCACACTTCTCGATGACCCGAAGAAAGCGATATCCTCGTCTTCATCGAAGAATGAGTTTTTCTGGTATTGCGATGGATGCTGTCTAGAAGTATTGTCTGGAGCAGGCGCCTGACCAAACTCTGCTAGTAGATCTGCGGACATTTTGAATGTCCACGGTTGTCATGAAGCTGTGAGAGGTGACATAAAGTGCAGCGGTACAGCGGTGCAGGGAATGTCTGCAGGGGCGGCAACACAAGATCGAATATGCCGATGCCAACCGCAATCTGGATCGTTTTAGATGTGCAAACTTCGCAATCCGAACTCAACCGGAGTATATAGCGGTGGAATGTCGCAATGGCCGAGTAGCGCGAGATAAGGCACGGGCGGTCTACTATCGCCCGCATCCCCTCATTTTCCAAGGTTCCCCCCGTCATCCCCAGCGATGAGAACCATTGAGGAGACTAGGTACTTCCCCCGAATTGTCCGCAATCTATAACTTGTACTGACCCTCGCAGAAAGAGATGGGACATCCTATTCTCCGACAACGATACACCTTCCGACCTTCGAGCGGCTTTGCAATCCGAGCAAGGAGGAAACCTGTGCAATGACGGCCTGAGGTCGGTTTGCTGGAAGGTTCTGTGAGCTTGATAATGTGAGATGGGGATATATGCTGATTCTTGCAGACATTTTTACTCTTCGACGGGTTGGATAAAAACGAATGGACGCCTAAGCTCGACGAATCCCGGGATGCCTATCGCGCGCTGCGAGATCATTTCTTGAAATATATCGAACATCCGGACGATTTAGAATCGACTGTTGATCCGCTGGCGGATGATGAGCAGGTACTTGAATGAACATCTGCTGTGCTTCGGTTAACTTGAAAAATACTCCTGTCTAACTAATTCTTGTTGGAATCAGTCCCCTTGGCAAACACTCCGACACGATGAGACGCTCCGTACCGAGATCCTCCAAGATGTTGATCGATGCTTGCAGGAAAACTACTTTTTCCAAGAGCCCGACACGAAATCCAAGTTAACTGATATCCTGTTCGTCTACTCGAAGCTCAATCCAGATGTCGGCTATAGACAAGGAATGCACGAATTACTCGCGCCTATTCTTTGGGCAGTAGATCGAGACTCAGTCATGCCACACCCCGGAGAACTTGATGCGAACAAGGACAAGAGTGAGGCGTTGATGCTAAATCTTCTTGATGCACAATTCGTGGAACATGATTCGTTTACGCTGTTTCTCTCGGTCATGCAGACGGCCCGGATATACTATGAACACGGCCAGACACGGTCGGCAAATGGCCAGATGGACGTCATTCCAATAGTTGATCGGTGTCATTATCTTCATAAGGAAGCTTTGGCGGTTATCGATCACGAGCTCGCTGAGCACCTGGAAGCTGTGGACGTATTACCGCAAATTTTCTTAACGTAAGTTGTGTTCAGACACCCATCCATTTTCTTCCGTACTAACTCACTGAAAAGCCGCTGGATGCGCCTTCTGTTTGGCCGAGAATTTCCATTTGACGATGTGCTGACCATGTGGGATCTACTCTTTGCCCATGGACTACGGTCTGACCTTGTTGATTTCACGTGCATTGCAATGCTGCTTAGAATTCGTTGGCAATGTTGGTCGACCGGCTCAATTCCCCATCGTATTTTATTTTGCTGACATGCATCATTTAGTACTCACGGCCGACTATACAACCGCCTTAACATTATTACTTCGCTACCCATCGCCCCAACCACACACACCTCAGACTTTCGTGTATGATGCACTATATTTGGAACAGAACCCTACTGCCGATCGAGGCAGTTTCATCATATCAAAATATTCAGGTAGACCGCCCGATTCAAAATATCGCAACCCTCCTGGTACACGGCCCACGAGGAAGACCTTCCTTTGGGAAGACTTCAAGAAACGCAGTGAAAGCAACTCCCCTACTGGATCACCAGCCCGAAGCAGCCCTAAAAGTCTCGAATCTCTTTTCCAAGACGTCTCCCAGGGAATTCAACGCCGGACAGAGACATGGGGCGTAGCCAAGGCTGTTCGAGGCGCCGTGACAGAAGCCAGGAAAAATATGCAGACAATGCACTTTGAACCAAATATGCGTCCTGGCTTTTCGAGGCCTGTTTCTGCAGCATCAGCCTCGGACATACAATCGACTACGGTGGCCTCGGCCAAACTGCAAACAAAGATCAATCTACTTGAGCAAAGGAACCAGGCTTTGGCGACCATTTTACGCGAGGCACTGAACGATCTTGGCTCGCAGCTGGCAAATATCAAGGACCTCGATTCTGATACGAACAGCGCAGTGAAGCGGGCTCTGGTCAAAGCTGAGAGTGTCCAGGTCTGCCTTGGAGACTCTTCCATACCAGTAGATCCCCCTCTTGACCCCCGTGTAGATGGGGAATTAAACGAATCGGACGAGTCACAAGAGACAGTCACCTCAACAGTGGGGAAAGAAGACGGCAACATTGTGGTGAACGGGAGTCAATCTCGAACAATAAATCCCGCCAAAGCGGATACGACCGGGCCGAAAGCCGCGAGTGGAACCAATTCTATCCTAGACACGGCAAGTCGGACGAACAGTGACAGGAAGAAGGGGGGTGCACGGGTAATACCTTCACGATCAACTGTGCGACCTTCTATGACGGATTCGGGGTTCTCATGGATGCTTGGCGGTGGTCGGAACTTGTCGGGCTTTGTTAGCTCTACATCACCGCCGCCAGAGCAGACTCGACTTCTTGACCAAACCCGAGGGAAACCCAAACCCAATGCCTTGTTTGGATTGAGCGGAGATGACAATCTAGGAACCGATTCTGAGCATAGTGAATTGGCGCTGCACAGCCTTCGGGGCTCTCGGGACCCTCTGTCAGGGACCGGCCCACCATGATATCTACCGATTTTGCCAATTCCACTGCTTGCGTATGCACTGGAGGATACATCGGGTCGAAGCTAGTCCCACTTCTTATCTCTTATTAGGCTGCATTATTACCATTTCCCGTATGGAAATTGGCTGCAGACACCCATGCCACAAAAGGAGGCATCTTTTTGACATGATCTAATTTTTTATACAGTTTTCTGTCTCCATTTACGATGTGAAACAGTCTTCCAACGTTATAGAAAGCAAGTAGCCACTGGAATCCAATCCCACATGAGGCGCTCGGATCTATTTGAGAAAGCCACTTTACATCATCTCGAGATTTTGCGGAAATAACTTGGCTATGACTTGCTGCATTGACCGGGCGGGGTAAGACTCTCCAAGTATTCAAATGGTAGCTTGGTGGTTCTATTTTGAAGATATATCATTTCTGTCTTATATAGATCTGATTCTACTAGTCTTTTTAACGGTAGATTTCTCCGCCACATGGGATAGAAATATGTCGATCAGCCGATCTAAATCAGGCAAATCATCTGTTCAAGGGAGAATGTCTATTTTATTTTTGGTTTTGGTTTTATTTTCAAGGAGAAATGGTCGTTAGATATAAAATATAGCCCATATACAAAAAAAGCTATAAAATACCCAAAAAGCTATTACATCACGGAGGGGGGAGCCAGTTCCCTTTTTCTCGCATTTTCCTTCTCCCCACTCTCTTCCCCGCTGCTGTTTCTCTTTTTCTTCCCCCTTGAATGCTTTTTTCCTCGACCGCATCTGCTTGTCCTTCACCTTTTGCGTGCCCAGCCGCGACGCCACATATGCCGCCTGAGACCCTACGAGGCAGCTGCCCGCCCAACCCCCGTCCCAGTTGCGAATGACCGGCCCATACATGTCGCATACCCCAGCTACATTCACGAGTGCTCGCCTCGATTGAGCCTCGTACTTTTCTTTGTTTCCCATCTGATCATCTGAATTTGAAGAGCATAACAACCAAAACCCCCCCCAAAAAAGAGAGACAACAGAGAGAGAAGAGAGACCTCGGGGATGGGGTCGGCTTACAACCATGATGGTCAGTCATGCTCACATGCTTTTTTTTTATGTTGACGTGCAGTCTTTGTTTCACATTCCATGGGCCTTGGGGAACTTTGTGGAGGTGAGGACAGGTTATGATGCTGTTCAGATTGAGTCTACGACTCATTGAGCACCGGAAAAGAAACTTTGGAAGGGTTTGGAGCAACCAGGGCGCGAATTGATTTTCTCCCAAGTGATCACGGTCATTCGCTAGCACATGCTCAGAAATGCATCTGACCGCGGAGATCAACCGTCTGATCACTCGAAAGTGTCACATTTCCTTGAAAGGCCCGTGGAATGGAAACCTCGAGACGCGCCGATTGAGTTGATAATAAGCTAGGTGAATCATGCTGATCAAACTTAGGCGAGCCGAGTCCTCTTTCGTCGCCGTTAGGATCCCTCTCTGAGTCGCCCGAATCCGAGTCCGGACTGCACAGCCTTTCTTTACAGACAGATCGCCTCAGGAGCTCGGCGGGCAGTGTTTCTTCAGGATATGACCCTCTTTCCAGGTCAGCGACAATATTATTTCTACCTTCTAACACAACCTTAACACTTTTTGTATTTCAATAGATCTCCGTTGTTCGAGAACGACCATGGAATCGGTCCATCCGGGCTGGATCGTATACGCCAAAACCAACCCTCGCGAGTACTGACCCTTCCAAACATGTCTACCTCGTCGCTATCGCTAGCTCCCATGCCTAGCCAGCGGCCCTCTCCCTCTCCCCGCTCTCGCTCATCTTCCCGAGCTCACACCAGTCACTTGTCGAGCCGAAGTTTTACAGATTTAGAAGATCTACACCGGTTTCCGCTCGAGTCGTTACACTCCTTTTCCTTTGCCCAGCAGTCCGAGGAATTTCTTCACAGCCGTCAGAACATTCTCAAGAGATCTATTGATTTTATGCGCGACCGGATGGGATGGGCCGCAAGCAATGCCGCGATCGCCAACGCACAAGCAAACGCCAGTGGGGACACGGAGATGCAAGGCATGATGGAGCTTTTGGCCCGAGCCAATATGCTCGAACCCCAGGAAAACCACATCCAAGGCCGTGGACCCATCACAGGACCCGCAGAGATTAATAGCGACAACGTCTTTGAGAAGGCCTTCTCAGATGGGGATTCTTCCCCGGCCAGCACCCGAGACGGCGCCCAGGATTCCACCACTTCGGGGTCACACCCCTCTGAAGGCTCCCAATTGTTGAGCCCTGTGCCCAGCGATCGTATCTCCAACCAACGGAGGGACCTGGTCTCTGCACCTACATCCAGGCGCGTAAGCTTAAAACGTACATACACGGACCTATGCTCTGTCTCTGTTAGGAGCAAGCTGATGGAAACTCTAGCACAACCATACACCTCCTCCGCGGATACTTTCACCTCGCTTACCGCCTCGACTGCTGGATTGGGATTCCAGATCCCCGCCCTTCACGCGCATAGCAGCAAATGGACCCCGGCTTCCCAGGCCGTGTTCAGGACCGAGGCCAAGGAACCATGGACCATTCTGGCCGCTAATGATCTGTCATGTCTCATCTTTGGTGTTCTTCAGTCCGAAGTTCGCCATCTCAGCATCCTGGAGGTTGTACAGAAGGAGCACCGGGAATGGCTCAAGGCCAAACTTCGAGATCCCAGCACTGATGCCGCTGCCCGAATGCCACTCCAACCCGAAAGAGCTAACATCTCCGCTGTCAATCCCAAATTTCGAGGTCTTGGGAATGGAGTGACAGCACAACTTCTCAGCAAACCATCTTCACGAGAAAAGTCCCGGAGAGCGCAGACCGATGACGGATATGGCTCCAGCACGAGAAACGCCCGAAACAACAACCACCCGGCCAATAAATCACGCGGAGTCTTGCTATGCGGTGATGTGGTCCCGATCCAAAAGCGCAACGGGTCACGGGGCTCCGCTAGCGTCTGGGTTATGGAAAAGCGTGGTGGCCTGATCTGGGTTGTGGAAGAGATCACAGAGAATATTGCGTCCATCCAATGCGACGATTCGTGGAACGTCGTGAGTGCCAAAGGTGAAGTCGAAAAAATATGGGGCCCATCGGTCGTTCAGAACGGCCAGTCGATCACCGACCTTTTACCCTGTTTGCCATCAGAATCTCTTGAGACTTCCCCGGGAAGGGATTGGCTAAAATCGTGGAGCTTAAGCACTTTGCCGCCCGCACCGCTGCGGGCGTTTGTATTCCTGTCGCTGTTGGAAAGGGAGAAGGAGATCGCACTCTTCAAGTCTCCAGTTTTCCTCATGTCGCAGGCATGATGGTCCTCTCGTCCTCGTCATTGAACGTGATTAGCTCCAACTCCGTGTTCTCTTCAGTCCTATTCGGCCAAGAAAGACCAGAGGGGCTCCACATCACTGAGCTTGTACCTGATTTCGATGAAATTCTGGATGTTTTGACCGAGGAGGACAATGTGCCACTGGTTGATGGTATTGTCGTACCCGAGCACAGCTTCCGACGGGCCCGGACACTTTCTATTCTCCGCGATGGAAAAGCAAATGCCGCCTCTGTGTTTACCGAGCCAAGTGGCTTGCTTGCCAAGCATCGGGATGGCTCAACCATTGTCGTGGACATTCAATTGCGCGTGGTTAAGAGCGGTACCTTCTTCTCAAAGGATAAGACAGAGAAAAGCAGCGATCGCAGCAGCGACTCTGATGACAGCGATGACACTATTGCAGTCACAGAGTTGGTCTACGCTTTGTGGATAACCTACTCGAGACAGCTCCACGCTGCTGGACCCGCCGCTGGCATCTCGCCATCATCTGTACCAAGTTCTAAGCCTACCTCGCCCACACATGACCCTGATTCGGATCGCCCGTCAGACGCCAGCGATGATGCCCGGACTGCGGAAAATCGCAAGGCTTCTGTAGAGATCAAAACGCCGACATCAACACTCAGTCAACAACTCAGTGAGGCTGCGTCTGAGCCTCTTACCACCCGTCCCGCGCAGCCCGTCCCTCCGGTTTCGGCTGCTAATGTGAAGAACGACCCTCCGGCGAAACGAACAATCAACGACTATGTGATCCTCGAGGAGATGGGACAAGGAGCCTACGGCCAAGTCAAGCTGGCGCGTTTAAAGAAACAGCCTCTTAAGAAGGTGGTGCTGAAATTCGTTACGAAGAAGCGGATCCTGGTGGATACATGGACTCGTGATCGGCGACTCGGTACTGTGCCACTGGAGATCCATGTTCTGAACTTCTTGCGGCGGGATGGGCTCAAGCACCCAAACATTGTGGAGATGGAAGGCTTCTTCGAAGACGATATCAATTATTACATTGAGATGACTCCTCACGGGCTCCCGGGGATGGACCTGTTCGATTATATCGAGCTCAAGGCCAACATGGATGAGTCGGAGTGCCGAAACATCTTCAAACAGGTTGCGAGCGCCATTAATCATTTACACACCAAAGCACTGGTTGTACATCGAGACATCAAGGATGAGAATGTTGTTCTTGATGGAGAAGGACGGATCAAGTTGATTGACTTTGGGAGTGCGGCCTACATCAAAAACGGACCGTTTGATGTCTTTGTGGGCACGATTGGTAAGTTTCCTTTGTCTCTTTGACGCATGGAAGGTAAAATGCTGACTATGTGCGTTAGATTATGCTGCCCCCGAGGTCTTACAGGGCAGGTCGTATCGGGGCAAGGAACAAGACATCTGGGCTCTCGGCATTCTCCTTTATACCATTGTCTACAAAGAGAACCCGTTCTACAACGTCGATGAGATCCTTGACCACCCCCTCCGCATCCCCTTCCTTCCTTTCTCGGAAGATTGCATTGACCTCATCCGCACGATGCTCGATCGCGACGTTGACAACCGACTCACCATCACTGAAGTGCTTGAACACCCTTGGATGGTGGGGGCTTGAACCAAAACATTTGAATACTTTCTCATACCACTCTTCCTTCTCCCTCGGCCTTTTTATTAAAAAACAAAAATAACGCGATACCCCACAAAGTTGATTACGTTTTGATGATGGATGCAAAATTTTCCAGGGAACTGGGTATCATTTCGGGGCCGGTGTGGAGCGAGTGTCTTTTTCTTCTAACCTAGGATCACGTTGATGGGTGATGATTATGAACATCAACGTATGATTTGTCTTATTTTTTTACCTGGGATTATTTTATTACCCTTTTTTTTTCCCACCCCCTTTTCCCTTCATGGCATTTGATTTTGCGATACCTTTGTATATCTCTTTATGTGACCTAGAGAACCTAAGAGGGTAGACATCATATACAACGCACTCCTTACTCCGCACATAGTGCGGCTTTGAGCGAATTGCGGGGTAACATTTAGCGTACGTCGTGGTTTTTTGTAGTCCTTGGCAAAGCCCAGTCTGTGGCTTAGCCCGGGTTATCATTATCGTGGGGGCAATCTCCACTTCAAATGCCAGGCTAAGAACCTTGGAAGTCGCCCAGGTGGACAGCTCCAATCTGATGCAAATACAGATGTAGGGGATGGACATGTATGGATGTTGTACTGAAATTCAGTGTTCTTGACAGTAAACTAAAATGGAATAAAACCAAAATACCTATTTAGGTAAAACTGTAAAATAGAAGACATGGATATGGCGTGGTCCATTCCATGGATTCTTTTTTATCTCCGTACCATGGGTTTATTGTTTCCCCCCCCGCACATGGCCCCACTAGCGAAAATAGAAAGGCGAAAATGAAATCTAACGGCTTGCCTCTCAGGAACAAATCGCCTCGATGTCCCTGGATCGTGGCCTTAAGTGGGTTCTGGCCTGAGGGGCGTCGAATCTGTCGGTCTGTCCTTCTGTCAAGGCGTCGTCAGCCGAGTGTGGGCTTTGGTCTCACATCAGATGGGTCTGTGCCATACCATTGGTATCGTACATACATCTGTAGAGACCAGTACACTATACACAATATACTCCAGAGTTACCCAAGAAGAAGATAGAAAATAATAAGAAAACGGCATTTGAAAGGTACATGCATGTATATACCGGTGCCTTGTACTAATAGGTGGGGACCGATAAGCAGATAACGTAGAGGGGGGGAAGTACTTGCGTAGTACAACGTCTGCTATGTGATGGTTGGGCCAATACCAGGTTTAATAGATGTATCGCATTCCCTTCTCTGCATTCCGCCATTTCTTGTTTCTCTTTGCATATATCTCTCTCTCTTTTCTTAAAAACCCCCAATCTTCTCTATATCTTCTACTCGGCCGTCTCGGGTCTCTCGGTTCACTCGGTTTTCTGTACGGCATCTTTGCCGAAACCTGTTCCACGGTTCTTTGGCCGTGGGCCCCGAGAGATCAATAACGAACAACGTGATTTCCCCACCCGACATTCTGATCACTCCCTCTCTCTGTTTCCTCTATTTCTCAAAGCGCTGATCAATATCCAAAAGACCGGTCATCGCTGAAATCTACCACTATGCTCATCTAAGAGCTTCCGGTGACTGCGCGCCCGTCGCTCTATCCGTTTCCACTATCCTCCGTCCTTATTACTGCTCGTGTGATACCTCCGCACCGTGCCGACACCCCCGGAAGGCGTGACAAGATAGCAGTGAGCCAGAGAATAGGTGATACAGACTGAACCAAGTCGCCAAAATGGCCTCCCAAGTATCCGATGAGATCTTACCCTCTCCGGGTAGTATCTCTCCGAACAGCCCGACCAATTCGGCAGGCCAGATCCCATTAGAGCAACCGCCAAAACTCAAGGGTCGTCAGAAGTTACTGCAGAGTCTCCAACGCATGTCGTCCAGCCCGACGTTGACCCGACGTGGCCGCTCCTCATCGACCACTAGTTACCGCCGCGACCATAAAGCTTCTCTTTCTTGTGTTTCGCTATCTTCGCCTTCCTACTCGCCCTGTCTAGGAAATGGAAGTTCCTCCCAGCTTTATGGCGGCCTCAATCCTCGGCCCGCTACTCCCGGATGCTCTAGCTCTCCCGGCGAGCCCCAGGGCGCAAACGCTCGCATTCGTTTGATGGAAACCGATGGCCCTGGTTTCACTACGCCTCGCACTGTGCCTTTGCCCTTTGATGTGAGGCCAGCATCGTGTGGATCGCCACGTACCGCGACACCGATGGGAGTGAAGTTCGAGGAGGTCACCGTTCCAGAATCCCAACCGGCCAGGACTCTTGATTTTTGGGGCGATATGCCACAAGAACTTAAGATGGAGATCTTCCAATACCTTACTCCGCAAGAAATTGTCCGCTGCTCCGCTGTTTCCAAGACGTGGAATGAAATGTGCTACAACGGACAATTATGGTCTAAGGTCGATACCACCGAGTACTACTCTAAGATCCCGAGTGATGTTTTGGTCAAGCTTATCACTTGTGGTGGTCCGTTTGTCCGAGACCTCAATCTCAGAGGCTGCGTTCAAATGCGTGAGAAATGGTCTTCGGATGGAGAACGCATTTCGGATCTATGTCGGAATGTGGTCAACTTCTCGCTTGAGGGTTGTCGTATCGACAAGGCATCCATCTACTCTTTCCTCCTTCGTAATTCCCGTTTGGAATCCATCAATCTCTCGGGTCTGTCCAGTGTCACAAACTCGGCAATGAAGGTCATTGCACGATCTTGTCCGCAACTCGAGACACTGAATGTTTCTTGGTGCAATAATGTTGATACCACTGGTCTTCTTCGGATTGTCCAGTCATGTGAGCGATTGAAGGATCTTAGGGCCAGCGAAATCCGTGGGTTCAAGGACGAGAAATTCACTTTGGCTTTGTTCGAGCGCAATACATTGGATCGCTTGATTATGAGCCGTACCGACCTAACCGATCAGAGCCTGAAGATGCTGATTCACGGCAAGAACCCCAATATGGATATTCTGACCGATCGGCCTATCGTTCCACCTCGAAAATTCCGTCATTTGGACCTTCACCATTGCCCTGAAGTGAGTGACGATGGATTGAAAAGCCTGGCCTACAACGTCCCTGATTTAGAAGGTCTGCAAGTTTCCCAGTGCTCCGAGCTGACCGACGAATCCGTCATGGACGTTATTCGCACGACACCAAACCTGTCGCATTTGGAGCTGGAGGATTTGGAGAACTTGACGAACCGCACCCTAGTGCAGCTGGCTGAATCTCCATGTGCCCAAAATTTGGAACACTTGAACATCAGCTACTGCGAGAGTCTTAGCGACACGGGAATGCTACGAGTAATGAAGAACTGTCCAAAACTCCGATCCGTCGAAATGGACAACACCAGAGTGTCCGATCTGACCCTGATGGAAGCCAGCTTCCGTGTCCGCCGCCGCGGGTACAGCGACGAGGTGCCCAAAGTCGGACTACGACTCATGATATTCGACTGCGCCAACGTCACCTGGGCCGGGGTCCGGGAAGTCCTTTCTAGCAACGCATACATCCCTCGCGCCTCCCGCAAACCCGTTTCAACAGTGGTAACGGTGACACAAACCTCGGATACTGGCTCCTCCCCGGCAACAAGCACCTTCGTCACTCCAGCCTCCTCCCCTTCGCCGTCACCAGCACCAACCTATCCCAACGAAATCATCCAGCTCAAATGTTTCTACGGCTGGCAGATGACCGTCGATGAACACACGAAACGTGTCCTGCGCGGCGACCTCGCTGCTGCATCCCGGCTGGACCGGAAATGGGCCGAATACATGGTCGCGACCGAAGAGGCCGGTGCTGCTGGTGCTGGTGCCCGTCGACGTCGACGTCGTGCCCGTGAGGCTGAGCGTCTGTACAATGAAGATGAAGACGAGAACGATGCTTACGGTACGGGCGCTGTCTCTGCTCTTGGCGGAAGACGCAGACGAGCCCAGAGCGGTGGTGGCTGTACTGTCATGTGAGGTAAATGCCCACGGCTTTTTCTTTCCATTCGGTGTGTTCTGGGAACACCTGACGCTCGAGCTAGATGCAAGACGCTACTCGACTCTACTGGCGCAGGATCGCTAGTATCTCAAATGGATGCCATCCATTTTATATTGAAGATCATATCCTTGGAATGGTCATTTTCAATTGCTATGAATTACGCACGATATGATTTTCTTTTCTGGGACACATCCCCAATACAACACTTTCTTTCGCATTTGATCTTTTTTGACCCTTTTCATCTCTCTCTCTATCTGTCTACCACCTATCGTCACATCTACTCGTCTTCACCTCTCTCCTCGTTTTTAGCAATGGCGCCAAATTCCATGAATGGGCTTTCTTTCCTGCATGTTCTATGAGCTTTTTATATGTTCACATCTCTTACCCAATCGAGATGTTAGCTCTACCATGTGTATCTAGAGGGGTTACTGGCGAGATGATTGGCGTCTTTGGTTTCTTCTCTCTCTATTAGTCTGTCTCCCTGAGCTTTTCAATTTGAAATCCATGCCGCCTATCAGGCTTCTCTTATGACACGTTACTCTCGCGTCAATTCCAGTTTATATCCTCTAGGTAGATAGTCGGCGTAAGATGATATTAGTGCCATTATGTGTAAGAACACCACGCTGTGCTTTTGAACGCCTTTTTAGGATAACCTGTCACAAATTATAGAATGGGCTAAAAAGCACCCTATTTAACATATAATACCTGTATAACTAAAATTGCTTATCCAATGGGTTATTAGCATGAACTAGGGACTTCTGACTTACTTTCCAAGACAGGGTTTGTTCTTCAGTGGCCTGATTACACCCATGAATCCGATTCTCTTCCATCTTATAGCAGCCTGAATGGTGAGGGTTTCAAAGAAAGCCAGTGGCCAGATGAAGAGAATCCCCTTGGAGGGTAGTAGAAAACGCCATTAAGAATATCGTAAGAATAACTGCAAAGCACAGTGATCAACCACGTGTCACCGGTAATAAAGAATAAGCAAAGAAACACAGCGCTGGCGGAAAACATCAAGATAAGAGGCATAACCCACCTCCCCCCGAGTGTCATTAACCTCGAAT